GAAAAATACACGGGCACTCTCCATTATAAGGGCACTCTCTATTATGAGGGCAGGTTCGGGGAACTTGGAAAATGGAGGAGTATTCTCGGTCGGTGGACACTCGCCATGATGCAGCGACCTCCCACGTCTTGTGGTTAAGTTCTCGCGTGTTGACACCTTCGAACGGTCAGCTGTGTGAGTACGCAGCGGGATCGATCTCGCGTGAAAGTTAGAAGATACCTTCCACTCAAAGACTCATGGCTCCAGTGGAAAATATACAGGGGCACTCTCTAATATACGGGCACTCTCTATTATACGGGTAGGTTTCGGGAACTTGAAAAATAGACGGGCAGGCCCGACTATTAGAGAGAATACGGTATTCTCTAAGATTCCAATCTTTCGGGGCATTTGGGAGCTGGGCAGCAGTCGACATTCAGGAACGCGTCCGTGAGACGCGTATATGAGAGAGGGAATCTCTCGCCGGAATTACTTACTCCGGCCTCGCTCATCCCGAATGAACGGGTGAAAAGTCATTCCGATACATTGTCGAAATTCGACGGTCTCGGCTCTCTTGCCACCTCTATGTGATCGATACGGCTCAGATTGAAGGAGATATGCCCGGGACGAACCCAGCAGGGCGAACTCGACTGTCTAGGGCGACGAATCTCGTAGTCAGCAAAAGTTTGTTCGATCCCTTTTCACGCAGAGTACCCCGGGGTTGAGCTCGGACTCCATGACTTTTACTAGGAAGAATACGTGAGTTCGCTTGTGGTATAATTAGATCGAATGTATTTCGCACGGCGAGTCGGCACCCTACTTGAGCAATATCAATAAGAAATCGTCGGCGTAAAAGGACTCCCCCAGCTTAGGCAAGCGCAGGATATTCGACCAAAGTTTCAGATCAGATCAAGGACCCTTTTCGAAGGTTCCACAATCAGGAGCACGGACTGCTCTGACATTCATTCGGATGCGGTTGAAGATCAGAATGCATCCCTGGCGACGATTGGACTCATCAAGGCTTTTATTCAGGATACAAGCGCGATCCCTTGCGATATCAGAAATTGTTCATTGCTTGGTTCGTGGACTCGCAGCGACCGCTCGTACAGTCGGGACAGTCTTCAGCCTCAACGACGCCGACTCGGGATGATCGTGATGACGATGGAGGTGGTTATTCCTGGAAGAAATTCATGAGAAAACGAGCGGCTTTCCTCACTCGAGACATGATTCAGATATTCAACGTTGTGTCATTCGTGGGAGTATTTTCTCTTTCCTCGATCTTGCGGGAGGGAGATCTAGGCAGCTCATCGCCGAAGTGTGACAAGAACTCACCCGCTCGACAGGACCCGAATAATTTGCTGCGGGACTTCTTCAACGGTGAAATGGGCGCTCGCTGGCTGATCGTCCTTCACTCCGGGCTCGTTGGATTTCACTTCGGCTCGGAAACCGTTCTCATCAGCCACGTATTCCACTCGACGATGCAATCCGAAAGCATCTGTGTAACTGAGACGAACGAATTAAATTGACAGTCAAGAGTGCCGGGAACTCATTCTCCGCCACGACTCGAATCATATGTACCGTGAATCATAATCACTCATCACTCACCCGTAGCTCCCCTTCACGATGCCCTGAGCGTTGGAGCTCTCCTGGCGGAACTGGTTATTTCCGTATTCGTCTTGGATATTGTACCCGAAATCATAGGGTTTCGGGATTCCGTGAACTTCCTGTGAACGATGGAACGTTTCGTGATGAGCTCGATTCGCGCCTCTCGGCTCGGTCTCAAACGACGGAGGGCTCTCCAGCCATGTGCACAGATGCACAGCTAAGATGGCGGCCCCGCAATACATAGTATCAGGGAAATCCTTTCGGAGCAGATCGACCGAAGTGCGCATGAATTCATTGAGAGCGGCGAATGATAGATACCTCGACAATCTGTCTCTGGAATGGAGCCCTCGAGTGTCTTGGCCGAGCTCCGGGATCCTGTTGCGACCTATAAGGTAGCACGTTTGCGACACGCAGATCCGTGGTCCCCTGCGTTGGAGCAGTCGATGCAAATGAAGAACAAACGAGAATCAACGCAACTCGGAGTGACTGAAAAGAGGCCGAATGACTTCCCACCTTGGAAAGAGCTATTGATGGCAAGCAAGGGCTCCATCAACATCGCTCGCGCGTTGCACAGAATCCACCCAGAATTTCCGAGCTCACCGAATCCTGGAGACAAGTATGCTCCTCATGCTGAAGAACTCACCTTCATGTTCTTGGTAAGAGGAACAGCTTTGAGCACAAAGGGTTGACTCGTTCCATCTTAAATAGCGCAGATGAGTTGCAGTCCGCCCACTGGTTTTGTCTTTCTCTTCGAAGAACAAACAAAAAATCCTTCGTCGAAGGGTGTTGTCACAAAATAGCTGGGGATTTTCGCGATGCTTGTTAATGGATCACTGATTGACTTCGGTAAGATCGTTTCGGTGATCTGCTTGATGTCTTCGGATCTCCAGATGCCAGTTCGCCTATCGAGGTGCTCTTGGGACGCAACGAACGGGATGAGACCGTCTCCGAGAGAGTACGCAAACACTATCGCGTTCCAGATGAAGGAAAGCTCCTTCTTGATCAGGTTCTGACGAGAAGTTTACAGCGCGCTCATTGTCAACAAATTTTCTCAACAGGGGTGTAGAGCGCTGACAGTAACAGGAATCATTTAGGAGTCGTTCCGATGGGCCGCTCCCAATCACCAGCTCATAGTCTGCTCCGTCACTGATTCTTGTTTCGTTCAGGGTCACCTCCATTTTCCGGGAATTCTTGTAGTCCGGTACCACCGCGGAAAGCCCGGTGTTGTTCTCGAAGTCGTACGGCAGATTTCGGCCTCTCCACATCACAATTACGTGGATGGACTCGTCACATCGATGACCGACCTCAACGCCCCGTTGAGTGAGTTGAAGATTTGAGATTCAGCTCATTTATTCCTGCTCCGTTCTGATTTCCGGTTTTTGTTCTGGAGTCCCTGTCTTCGAGCTCCGTTTTCCGGAGAAGTCAAGACACCTCGGGAGCATGTCGATGCCGGACGCGGACCGAGATCATTGGCTTCTCGCAAACAAACATCAATTGCATATCTGAACCTTTCATTCCACCAATCGGTGTATAGTTTCCATTGTCGATCGTACTCTGATATTTGCTCGGAATCCGAAGCGTCGGATTGGTGTTACCAGCGTTCGAAAGTGGAGCATTTGATCGAAGACACCCCAGAGGGCACTACTGGTCCCGACCGATACGGCACATAGAAATTCAGAGGGCAGCTGCTGGGGATCCTGCTCGGTACTCGATAAAGCTCCAAGACAAGAGTTCAGTATCCTCATGAACGATAGGATCTTACATCGATTCCCCCTTTTTCTGGCACCAGAAATTTGGGACTGCTCTCCGTATTGAGCACCAAGGGACCCTGAACGCTGAGTTATGAAAGGATTTACCGGAAGAAGCTTCCTCAGTATCCTCATGAATGTTCGGGCGAGACTTGGTGATTGGACCGTGGTCGACTCAAGAGATTTGCTCAACTCGCCTTCCTCTTCACGAACTGACATTACTCCCTGAAACGTCCGTTGAGTCGGGAATTCCCCTTAGATAGATCCTCCATAGATGTGAAAGCGTCGGCAAATATCCCGATAATAATAGAGATACACCTCCAAGACAATCGCTTTCATCAGCAGAGGAATCTGGTCGGGAGTCGAGAGTACGCATCAGGAACCAGTGAGGCTCCGATGGAGCTTTGTACGATAGGATCTTACATCGATTCCCCCTTTCTCTGGCACCAGAAATTCGGGACTGCTCTCCGTATTGAGCATCAAGGGACCCTGATCGCTGAGTTATGAAAGGATTTACCGGGAAGAAGCTTCCCCAGGGTGACCGAAGTTCTTAACTCCAGAGAACTCGCTGAACTGAGCTCCGCGAAGTCTACCGGTTAGAATTGTCATTGTCGGGTGAAATTCCCAGGATTTTGTCTCAGGTCAGGAGGTTTTTCTGTCGTCACTATCGCCACTGATTTGATGTCGCCAATTGTCACGGTGAGTGGTGCTCGTTGATTCGGAGGAGCTGTCGCCGAGAGACTGTCGTCATCGTAGCCGCGTCGCTCGCTAGCGTGATGCTCATGTGGTCGGATGTGGACGGCCCCTTCGGTTTACATCGTGTTTTTCCTTCCGCTGCTCAACCTGACATGCCAAGACGTCTTTAGCGGAATGAGCGGAGCTAGACTCTAACAGCTACCGTCAGCCCCACCACCGAAAGTAGCGGCGGCTGTGAAGTTCATGACAAGCAGAACAGAAGCATCAACAAATCGTTTCTCTCGTTCTTTTTTTTCATTTTAAACAATGCGCCCATCAGCACTGAATAGTCATTTGTGAGCGCGCGTTTTCCATACGTCAGACGCGCTGGCGGCTAGGAATAGGAGCGACGTTGAGAGATGAGGAGAAACTTTGGGGAGGTGGAGTGAGACATGGGACTGCCACAGAAGCGAAGAACAGTCCGCTAGTTCAAGATCCACCTTCACGCAAACCTCGTATTTTGATCGCCACGCAGCGTTCCCAAGTCCGCTGAAAACCGCGATCGCCATTCTGAACATTCAGCATGAGAACGTGAAGCGGGAACATCAGTCCTATCCGGACCGATCTTCTGAAAACTCCGAGGTCTCATGTTGAATAGTGGTCCGCTGCGCTGATTCTCTCTTCTAGGGTCGATCGTCGAACCTCTGCGCGACGTGGAGGAGCGTCTACCACATCCGACTATCCGTCTACCTCATCCGACTATCCGTCTACCTCGCTTTGTGACCATCGAGCAACCCGAACTGATGATCTCCCTAAACTCGATTGGATCTGAGTCTATCTCCCTTCTGCCGAACGGTACGCGGCAGAGGCGAAAACGAGACATGGGTGCGAGGCGAGTCGACCTCTGCGATAAAAGAGCGTCGAGCTTTGAGTATTGATAAGTCCGATTTACTACGCATGCGCATCTTCTTGACATGTCGTCTGCTAGATTCGGTGTTTGCAAATAATATCTACGCACAGCGATTCTCTCGCGGTACATTTCGCGTCGATGTACACCTATGAAGAGAAGTTCTGTGAAGTAAGATAAGTCAGCTGAGCGAGATGCTCCGACACTTGGTTCGCGGCTTGGGCCTCGGGTCTCGGGTGCTCAGAAGCACTCCCGTTATTCGGCGCGCGGGCTTCCACAGAGCCTCTGTAAGTATCGACTGGATACTGAAGGCATCCTCTTACAGCTGATCAGGCAGACTGAATTCAGGAACATGATTGCCTCATGGCTCCGGACACGGCGGAACAGTTGTGATCATGACGGCTGGAGAGGGTGCAAGTCTAAACATGTTATTGAAGCCTGGGTGCTCAATTCCCCCGCTTTTTCCGCGCGAGGAGAATCTTGGCCGGACGATTGAGATTAGATTAGAAGAGGACATTCCTTGATATCAATCGCAAGACACTGCTCTTGTCACCCGCAGAACTCGGAAGGAGGTTTTCAATTGGTTTTTCATGAGTTTCCATTATTGTGGCCTCTGACATGCGCGACTCAATTCACAGATTTACGAATCATTATGCGATTGACTGAGCTGAAGATAAAGCGGGTCCCGAAGTCTCGACGATTCGCGAGCAGCAATCGCCCGAGCTCCGGAATGGATAGCTTACGGACTTTCCGCCTGCATTGCTGGCCTTGAAAGTCGTTCTCCCGACTTTAAAAAAAGCGGATACCTATTCATCAAATCCCCAATTGCTCCATTACGATATCAGCCGGGGGCTCACCAAGCGCGTAGTGGAAACAGTGGCTCAGATTGATGTCATGTTCTAAGACTCTCACGAAACCGCCCCAACGCCGTTAATGTGAAGAAGGATTTTCTCAAATTGGACGGCGGTTTCAAATTTAGCGACAGACATCTGTCAGTCGGATGTCAATGCGTGCCGTCGATGTGCGTGCCCTAAACCATTTCGGTGCATGTATGTTTATTCACGGGACAGTAGCTGGCGCCTTGTTTGAGCCTAGTAACTTGACGAAAGGACACATTGATGGTCGGACGGTCGGATGGTCACTCACTCATGCACCCTGGCGGTCGGTTAGCCCGTCTTTTCGGAATTGTAGCCTCGGCTCGGTTCGTGTTCACGATTTCATTCATGCCTGCGTCGACTCGCTCATTTATGAAGTTCGTCATCGTTGCGGTTTTCGTCTGCAGCCGTCCACGAGACCACAGAGTCGACCACTCGTGTTAACGACATTTCTAGCTCTGATGACCAGAGAGTCTAGTAAGTGAGCTAGAGCAGGAGGATCTGGCCGCTCGAATGTCACGGTGGATTGCCGCGCTCCGAACTCGTTCACGGTACGGCCGCGCGTGTCTGTCGGAATCTCGCTCCTTGGTCGGGAACGTAGGAATCAACTCGAGCTTCAGCTCCTCCAGATCCAATCCGGGTACTTTACCCCTCGGAGCAGCTTCAATGAGGGATATGTTTCGGTTTGCATCGACCAAGAGCGACAAAGGACGAGATACGTACTTCATATACGAACCCTGTTCCCGAGCGGACCACTCTCGACGCTATTTGCTCCGTGAGCTCGCCGGAGACGTGCGCAGCGATCCGACGAAGTTTTCGTGAGAGATGTGAGCGAATTCGTGTGACTCGGTTAGCGATAGCGGCAACCAACGACCGAGCCATCCTGGCCTATCTCGGTGGCCTTCGCACACTCTTCGTGAAAAGCCATTTGCGGCCATGTTCAAGATACAAGCACATCATTAGCATGTAGATATTTCCTCGTCCCCTTCACACTTGAGCTTCCTCCGCGAGAACGAATGAACGAAAAACGAACAAACAAACAGGCGAATGGGCGGGAGAACGCGAGGAGTCTGCTTGTTGAGACATTGGGGGTCGCATGGTGCTGGAGTAAAATTTGAGCAGGATCCTTCAGTTTTCACACCGGTTGAGGGAACGAGCGAGCTCGAGGCGGCAGAGATGGTACCCGAGCCGCTCCATTGCCCTGATATTGTTGTTGTTGTCCTTAAACAAGGCGGTGTCGTTCGCGAGGGATACGTTGCGTGGGAGAATAACGAACGGGACCGACCCTAAATGAAAATCCTTCGGCTCGTTAATTCGCCGCACGAGATCCGCGGCGCCGCGTGAATATCCTGGGAGGTCTCGAGAAACGAGTTCCAACGATATAGAGACAATCGGAGCGACTGCGCAACGCCGCCTGTCTTTCATTTTCGTTTCTGTACCGCCGGCGCCGAGTGACAGATTTACGCGACCCGTACCGAATTCATATTGCGGCTCCTTGTCCCTCGCTTCGTCAATTTGTCAGGTCGTGTCGTCGTCGTCGTGATAATCTCAGAAGTTGTTGCATCGGGCTGACACCGAGTGCCGATTCACTGTGTTTATTGTCTGAACCAGTTGAGCGAGGCCTTTATGCGCGGATAAACTTTTTGCGGCTTGCGTGACGGGTTCACTAAACCCCGCGACTGGTGGCAAGAAAAAGATACAAACTTACCCAGACGAGAAGAATCAAGTCGGCGCGAAGTGTCATCAGAAACACCGAGACAATACGGAAAGAAAAACCTCAAATGGACGCTCTCGCTCCTACGCGGCCGTTTTCACAAGTCAGATCGCTCTTCGGCCGACTAACCAAAGAATCGACTTAAGGTATACTGCAACGATGTTGGCGGCGGAGAAATGCTCGAATTCCCTGGCGCTCGGACCCGCTGGACAGAGTCCCTCCAGATGTTCAACAAGGACTCGTATGAACCGCTCCCCGTCTACCGGGTTATGGACCCCAATGGGAACGTCATCAACCCCGAACACGACCCCAAGGTGAAATATAGCCTCTCTGTGTTTCTCTGCCCGTTCATATTTCGCCTCGTTCCGTCGCTTTCTCTCGTCGGATACATTCGTGTGGCGAGTCCGTGTCGATTCGTCGGAAGCACTCGCAACACATGACCATTCACAGCTCTTCGGAGAGAATTCCTCCTCCGCGGATCTCCGTCTATATAATCGAACTCCGTGCCCGGATAATGTCTCTGATTTTCTTCCCTAGATCCCTGATGCGAAACTCATAAAAATGTACGAAGGCATGGTCACGCTGAACGTCATGGACAAAATCCTCTACGAGTCCCAGCGTCAAGGTCGGATATCGTTCTACATGACGTCGTTCGGCGAAGAAGGCACACATTTCGGCAGCGCGGCTGCTCTCGACGACAAAGATCTCGTTTATGGGCAGTACCGAGAGTCCGGTAAGGCACGCAAAATTTTGCTCCACTTAATCAAAGTCGCCGGCTAAAGTGGCTCCCGGGCCATCGTGCGTCGGTTGGTCGGTCAGTCTGTCGCTGGGCGTCTTCGGGCGATCTGTCAGTGGTGGCTCGGCGATCCGACCGCTGCCGGTCCTAGCCATTTGCGGTTTGCCGTCCTGGTCCCGAGTGTACTATGCTGCAGACTTCGGTATTTGAAATGTGCAGAGCACAAGCCAAATGTAAGAGTCATTTCAGTCGAGTGTAGCAGGAGTGTCTCCTATTCGGCGTATGCTTTTAACCAGTGATTGTCTGCGTCGTCTTCAGCGGCAAGAAATGCTTTAGGCGGATGGCTGGCTGACTGAGTTGCTGTCGTCCTTTCGTCGCGACGCCTCACCAAGTGGAGGAGTCCATCTGCAATCTGGAGTTAGCCTCTGCGAGGGTGAATTATAACATTCCACCATCCAAGCATTCGCTTCACGATCCTCGCTCGCTCACCAGCCGGCCTGTCCGCCCGCTTTCATCTCGCTCGCTCCCGTTTCCGTCCCGCACAGCCCTGGCCTAACCGAACGCCAGCAGCACTGACTGAGAGCAAGCAAGAAAGGCCTTCTCCGCTCGCTCGCTCGCTCGCTTGCTGCCGGCTTGCCTGCAAGAAATGATAGCATATTTCCACCCCAACTCGCCATTTTAGTTAGCTTTATTACTACTGGCACCGAGAGCAGAGCAAGTTTCGGACTTTCGCCAGGAGTCTGCCCGTGCGGCTCGGTCAGGCAGACAGGCAGGCAGGCGGGCGGGGGTATGCGGAAAACGAAAGGGAATTATGAGGGCTCAAGGAGGGGGACAAAGACCGCGGCCGGTCGGCCAGCCGAGAACATTCAGAAGGAGGGAATGTTTTCGCGCAAATGAACCTTCGTCGTCCTCACGGCCAGGCAAACGGACATCTGGAGAAGGGAAAAAAGAAAAGAGAGCATTTCGCTAACCAAAACCTCGGGGTGAAGGGTCTCGTCCGAGGCTCGGCGGTGATTCTCCTGCTGCCTGTCCGACCGTATGTATGTTTCGAGACGAATGGGGAGAAGAGGCCTAATTTCCTATTCTTGGCAACGTGTAGATGCGGAAATCTCTGCGCTTCGCTCCACGCTGACGGCGTCTCATAATTGTTCCAATCATCACCGACTGAGATACTCCCTGAGAATTCCGGACAGAAGGGAGCAGGGCAGGGAATAGGGAGATGATGTATCGAACGGCGGCACGGCCTTCGAGCGAAAAGCGTCGTCTTCCTTGCTGCTCCGAGAGGGTCCGACCAAGCCGCATATCCGATGAAATGGGCGGTCAGGGATCTCCTATGCGAAGAAATCTATAGGAAGCTCATCGTCTGAAACATCCCTTGTATTCGTCTCTTGATTCGCGCGCTCCATCGCCCCCGTGGCGGAGTCCGTGTGCTGGTCAGTCGGCTGAAGGTTCCTCTATCTGATGACGGAAGCTGTTTCCCTGGGTCTTTTTCCCCATGCAGCGGCGGCATCGGTGGCGGCATCCGCGCGTTCGGTTCTTTTTGGTACGGTGGTCTTCCATTCTTCTTCTAATTCTTCCCTCCGTTCTCGATTGCCAGTCTAATGCCCCGCCAACTGCTCGCTCCTTCGACCGATGGCTGACCGGTCGAAAGGATCCGGCCAGCGAGCGAGCGGAGCATCTCCCTCTCATCCGTGAGAATGCAATATGCCCTCACTAGCGCTGATGCCGCCAACCTCCTCTTTCCCGTATCCCATTTTCCCCCGCGCTCCCATGCCTCGTTGTCCATGCTTCCCCAGCCCTACCTTGCTCACATCTGCTCATTTAGAAGAGGGTTCGGCGCTTATTCGGTCGGCTCTCTTTTTAGCTCAGTTCTTCTTCTTTTTTCCTTTCTTCTCGCTGGCGAGTGTCCGGCGGACAGACATCCAGCCAGCCAGCTAACTGCCATTATTTAGTTTTATTTCACATAGCAGCGAGCCGTTGCTCGCACCATGGGGCTTTGCTTTCCCCGCGACTATTTCTCCCTTCAACGATCCCCATCAAAGCCCCGCCCGCCCGCCTGCCTGCCTCCCTCCACCCCATATTCTTGGCTCGCCTCTTCTTCAGAGATCCGCGTTGCCCCTTTGTTCCCTCCAGGGTCGAGTCCTCGCCCCCCCTCTTGACAGACGGAGAATCCCTCTCATCTCATTCGGTCGAGCAATGCACGACTGACCAGACTAGCTGCTCGGCTGACCGCTCGTTTGCCAGGCCGCTTGGCGGACTAACCGTTCACCAAAACTCGGTGGACTCTCGACAAGGCATTCGGGCTTTTAGGTTTATCCAGGAGAATTTTCTCTCGCCCGACGGCGAGGCGTCTCCTCGTGAATTTCGAGACGACTCCAATGATTTCTCGATGAATGTTCCACGTTGAATGTCCATGAGGAGGAGCGTATCCCTGATATTCACCGATCCACGAGTGGCGACTCCACGGGCCATCTTTGACCTTCCTGAGCTCGGCACTGATCGCGCTCATCGTATCTGGCGAGACCGAGGGAATGGAACTCGTGATCTCGGACATCGAGGATTATTATTATTCATCATTATTCTAACTGAGAGCCCCTAACCCTTTCTCACTGAACTCCGCGAGGAATATTCGACAATATCCCTGAAAAGGTCCCTATCGTGTTTCGGTTCTTGAATCATCTTCTCCCGAGAGGCTCAATCGATGGTTCAGAGCGACCTCCGACCCGACTCCTATCGATCTGGGAAAGTCGCGTGAAGGAGACGTATCGTTTGCCCATTCGGGAAAACTCGCGAGTCGGTGCTCACCCGAGGGAGCACACGTGAACTCGTGTGCTCGTGAATTCGAGGCCTAAAGCTATCGCAGCAGCGTAACAACGAACTGTCTTCCACAGGGGTTCTCATCTGGCGAGACTTCGGAATCGTGGAAATGATCAACCAATGCTACGGTAATTCGTTGGACGCTGGCAAGGGACGTCAAATGCCCGTTCATTACGGGTCGAAAGAAAAGTCGTTTGTAACCATCAGCTCTCCACTTACGACACAACTGCCTCAGGCTGTGAGTATCCTAGTAAATGGAAGCTCATTCGCTCGCTCTCAATCTCTACCAAGCTCCGGGTTCGCCCCGCTCTCGATACTCCATGTATTTTCGACTCTTCCGGAGGCTCAACGTTCTCTATATGCCTCGCCCGGCCGATATTCCAACGGTGGCCGAAACCGGCGAAATTCCCCAATATCGCTTGGATGTCTATCGATCCTTCCTGGTTCACTCCACCTCCACTTTGAGCCGATCCGAACACGGCTGCATCGATTTTGCAGCGGGCGCTTTGCGCTCCATCCTGTAGGTGTACGTGCTTCTCATTTGAATACAACCCAAAGCCACGGTCATTGAGACATGCGTTCATGCATTTGTTCGTGGGACCATTCACCCGTGCGTGCACTCGATGGCTGCTCGTTCGCTCGCTCGCCAGCCAGGCGGCAGACAGACCGGTCGGTCCGCCGACTGGTTGTTCGGAGCTACAAAACATCTCCCTCGTCCTTCGTCGTTCCCTTCTTCCTCGGACTGAGCGGTCACTTTTTCCAAATGTAGACTTGTATCGATTTATTGCATATTCCCCACTGCAAGCGTGATAGCGTGGTGGTGCCTATGCCGGCGGGGGGAGCAAAAGAAGAACCGACGACCAACAAGCCGTCGCGGGGAACGTCGAAGAATGTTGCCATGGAAAAAGCCAGCCCTCCAGTCGGCCAGGTCGTCGAGCAAGTGGTATGTCGATTCAAATCGACAAACGAGCCCCTGGCGTAAAGTGCTTTCGGACTTCTCTTTTGAGGGTGCTACTACGCCCAGCGGGTGACCGAGCGGATTTGCACGCTGTTTCTTGCTTTGTCAAGAGGCTACTACACTTATACACACTTACATATGGGCGCGCCGCCTCCCTCGTCGCCCACGCTCGCTCCGGTCCGCCGACGGCCTTCCCTTCTCACCTCTCGTCTCCCCCTTCCTTCCACCACTCATCGAGGACGGCGCCCCCCCCCCCACGTTACTTGCTCAGACGTGTGTAGGTAAACAAACCAGGGCATGAGAGCTCGCTATTATCGAGGCAGCTATAATGATTGCAGGTGGGCTCAGCGTATGCTTTCAAACGGGCGAAGAAAAATCTCGTTGTCATGTGCTACTTTGGCGAAGGAGCTGCTTCGGAAGGTGACGCGCACGCTGCATTCAACTTTGCGGCCACTCTGGAAGCGCCCGTGATCTTCTTCTGCAGGAACAACGGTTACGCGATTTCCACCCCGACCAAGGATCAGTACAGAGGCGATGGAATCGGAGCCAGGGGACCGGCCTACGGAATCGCGACAATCCGTTGCGATGGTAAGCGAGAGGCACCTCCGACTCCCATTCACCATCGCATCGGCCGAATGCCGGAGTTGTTTTCGCTCTTCTAGTACAATGCGCGCTCCTCAATACAGTCGACCATGGAGAAAGACGAACGCAATTCCTTCCAGGCAATGACACATTGGCGGTTTACAACGCTACGAAGAGAGCTCGCGAATATTGCCTCAAAGAGAACAAACCGGTCCTCGTAGAAGCCATGACCTACAGACTGGGCCACCATAGCACGTCGGATGACTCCACGGCCTACCGGAGCATTGACGAGGTGAGATTTCGCGACGCATGATTCGACTGACGTCATCAGCGGATTAGCTCTAGAAGTCGAATTTTTATTTTCAAGGTGAAAACTTGGGAGGAGAAAGCTCATCCTCTCGTTCGGTTCAGAAAATTCATAACTTCGAAAGGTCTCTGGACAGATGAGCGTGAAGAGCAGTTCCGCGACGAAATCAAAAAAGAGGTAAGTCCGCGAGATCGGTCGAAGGCTCTTCCCTCATGACATTCCTACCTCGAGGTCGAGGCCTGTTGAAAGGAAACCTGCGGTCACTCGTCATCCACGATGGACAGCACGCACCTGCTGTGACGGATGCCGGTTTTCTCTCGCTGCGAGCCGTGTGAGCGGAATCGCGCCATTTTTCTCCGCGCAGAGGATCGCGCAGGATCTCGAAATCGTCCCTCGTACATTTGAGGTTGACGTACACCTAGGTCCCGGCCGTGCATTAGACGAAGGTTCACGGCGACGACCGACGGCCGCGACAATGGTCGCATCATATTCGCTTCATTGGACAAACGCCTCGAACGCTTTTAGATGGAGGACCCTCGACGAGTGGGCTCGCCAGCGAGCGAAAGCTCTGCGATGTATATGGATGGTTCCTCGGTTGAGTTAAGCAAATGTTTGGCTCCGCGATGGAGACCTCAAGAGGGAAATCGGCGGTCAGCTCGGATGTACCTAGGTAGAAATACGAAGCCGTGATTCGCAAACGAACGATAGTGGTGACCGAGGATACAAATTTACCATCATTGCCAAATGAATACCGACGAGGCTATTCGTCTCCATCCGTCACCCGAATCCTCGCCGGTTCCTGCTCATAAAACTCCTGCACGAGGCTCCGGTGGAGCCCTATCGGCGGGGGTGGCAGGTCAGAGTCATCAGGAAGCGGCCACGAAAACGTTCTTCATACCGCCACATCGGTCGTCTAATTGAATTTCCGCTGATGGAGCATGTTCTCGCGACAACATGTTTGAACATTTCCCGAGGAATTACTCGAATCCCCGAGCTCGACGACGGCCCCACCGGTCCCACGCTTTGATACGGACGCTGTAGGTAGTTTCGACCGACGCTGCAGTGTACTCCGGTTGGAGTTGCGAACAAGAGTGCCTAGAGAACTTCGAATTCTGTCCCCCTCGTCCGAGCGATTATGCCCCTCGAGTTTAGGCATCAACGACGCCGCCGCTCATGGAGCATGTCATGATGACAAATTTATGAAAGCTGTGGATCGTTCCCAATGGTGGTCAAACGCTCCCGATGAAGCCAATTGTAGGCGATAACCTCGGCGGGCGACCTTATACGGAGTGAGGCAGCGCCTAGTAAAAGACATGATGGATGAGCGATACACTCTGACCCCCGACAGACCACAGGACGGAGCGAGCTGAGAAGAGGGACCGCGAATCCCCGGCTAGACGATCCCCCTTCCGTATGGAGGAGCGGAACGCGGCATCGTCTATCTTATTTTTTGCCTCAGTGTCATCATTCTCTCGATGAGATGTTGACGTTATGACTGCTGTCGACGAATTGTCTTATCCACGATTTTTCCGCCCGGATTTTCGGACGATTCTCGCAATGATGGGGACACGCTCTCGAAAATCGTCCGAAACCTCCAATAGGCAAAGCCCGTGAGGGCGAATGCGGCATTTGAGAGAAGTGGAGACCCCTCCAAGCACTGGTTTCTGCGTGCTCGCCCCTAGGCGCAACTGAACGCCCGCTATTCCTCGCCGACTTCAAGGGAGCATCTAAGTGGCTGCGTCCATTCCTCTGGGACATCGGCTGTGAATACGCTTTATCCCTGATGGGTTTAACCCCGCTTTCGGGGTCGCGGACTTGGTATACCGACATCTCGCTGTGTTGATCCGGTTGTTGATGTTGTGCTTCACTTTCGATGGATCGGATGCGATTTGCACCGCACATGTATCTGATCTCGCGTAAAGAAGACAATCATCGCTCGCGAGGGAAATTACCTACTACCTAGGTAGGTAGGATTTTTCCCTGATGAGTTTCGCTGCGAGCGGAGACTTGCGCTCGGCAATTCAGTCAGTCAGGAATCAGACGTTGGATATTGTTTTCCTCCCGTGAACAGAAGCTCCCGCAGAATCTGGGAGATCAAAAACTCTTCCAAGTCGGCTGTTTGTGTGCAACAAACAAAAATATCAGTTTTGAAGTGATGCATCTCGAAAGAAATCTGCATCTCAGATGCGGCGAGAGAAAATGCAGCGGCAGCAGCGGTGATGGTAGTCACGCCGCGGGTCAGGGAGGAGGAGGAAGCCAAGCGCGTTTTGTTGGTTGTTGGCTGAAAGGAGCGACTCCCCTCAGTAGCAATAAAAGTGAAAATTGGACACAAATGCTTTTTGAATATTGCACCCGCGATCTCTCTTCCTCCCGCCCGCGCTCGTTGTCCGCGTCCTTCCTCTTGATCTCTATATCGGCGTTGATGCTGACGCGGCGACTGGCACCGGTCGGGCAGGATATTGGCCGCCGAGTGCTGGATTCCTCGAAGCCCAATCACGAGTATTGGCTTCGAGTGTTTCACGTTGAGGCGATGAATGACTTCATTCGCCAAGGTACCGCATATGTCCCGGAAGGAATCTTCTTGAAAATTCACAACACTGAACACTACGTCAAGTGCGTTCTCTGTGAGGACGGCGGTCTCGACGGGCTGCGTATCGCCTGCGATACACAGATGATTTCGTCTCCTCCCCCTCAGAAGCGCAATGGAGGACCACATTTCAGGATCAGGATGCAAATGATACGTTGTATGTACCACGCGCTCGTGGGTCGAATCCCATCTGGGGAGTCCGCCCTTCTAAAAAATGGGGCTACTTCAAGCCAGCTAGCCAAAAGTAGAGAGAAAAAAACGAGAATGCGAGAGAGAGCCATTTGTCGCCTCCTGTATCTGTCCGGGGTCGCTCGGGGTCACTTTGTGTCCCATGTCTAGCGTGTCGGTGTCTGTCGATGGGTCTGTATGCATTCACCACTGGCTTGCACTTTTGCAAACTGAGTTGGTCGCCTCCCTCGTTTGAAACAAAACGCCTCAGATTTGCTTCGAGCTTTCGATCGTATTCGGGCTCTGCTGTTGCAAGTATTCATCCCGCGGCGATGACGGTAGACCGAGGCTCATGAGACTCCTGAAGTTCGACGAGGAGTGTTGGACGGGTTTCCGGCGGATAATTGGAACGAAATGGATAACCACCGGTCGAGCTTCGCCATTTCCCGAGCGATCCCCCAATTCTATTGCAACGCTGCACGTCACCGGCTTCGGAACGTCTCTTTGAATTTCCCGCTGGTTTGTTCCCGGATCGCTCGGTCTTATTGCAGCCCCGCACGTATCACTTGTTATGACGAGACCCCCAAATCGCATTCACATTTTGTTTGCTTTGTTGTTCCCGTCTAGCTCCTTTTCCCTGCCTCCGGTATCCCGATTTCCTTTCGGCATACTCATAAATCAGACCTGTTCGTCGTCGGGAGTGCGAAGTCGACAGTGGCATCGCCCCGGCATCTAGTCGGCTCCAGGAGAGTCCTTCTCCTCCGCAATAGCAGCGCGGCAGCTAGATCGCTCCGACTGAAGATTTCGCCATTTACAAATTGTCTCTCCCAGCAAGCAGATCACGTGTTCGAATCTCATCTCTCCTCCGTCTATCGAGCGATGTTACCGGGAGTTGCATCGGTGAGGTTGGATTTTCCTCGTGTTTTGCGCTTCATTGCTCTCGGGCTCCCGACTAGCTCCCCTCTGGCGTCCGCTGTACCTGCTTGCCGTCTTACAACTTCATTTGCTCGATGCCCAAAGGAATGGTCGGCTCCGCAGCGTTTTCGCGACAACTGAAGTTCTGGATCCGACTCGGATCAAGTATCACGTTCTCCAACTAGTCCGTGAGCTGTCGATAATGCGGAATTCCTGAATTTAGTCCGGCGACCTGTAGTTTAGTTATTAGTTTGGCAAAATCGGAGGCCAGGCTCAGTCGGAGAGGTGACAACGTCATGAGGCTCGGATACATAAAAATTCACTAACCAATCGACACAAAATTAACGGCTCCGTGGTGGCAGAAAAAGTGCTCTGTTTTCAAGACGCTTCGGCAGAGCGGTGAGCTATCGTCAATGATTTGGATGGCTTACTCCTGTGCGCTTCGAGTTTTTGTCCACGGCGGCTGCGTTTTTCAGCCGAAATTCGATTCTATGCACCACTTACCAAGCAAGCGGGGAACCGACCGGCGCCGCCGAAGAATACGTCGACTACGACGACAAACTTCTCTTCAGTCGATGCCGATCGCATTCTGAAGGCTTCTGCTCGAGCGACTTTTTGTGCTAGGTTTAGTTTTTGTGTTCATAGATTTCCCGAGCACGCAAGCTAAACTTTCTGCTTGCCGTGGACAAAGACATTTCACTAGCTCCACTTTTCTGCAAGATTTCCCCTTTGATGCAGAAGTCAAGACAGCATCCCTTCTCCATCGCCGTGACCTTCATGAAATGATTAGTAAAGACTCTTCGTTATCTCCAATTGTTTATTCTACTGAATCGTGCTCTCTTATATACCCTCACACCCCCGGACTTTTGATCCAATCCCTCCTGGGATTGAGCGTAAAATGGGAATCATTCGGACACTTCTTGGAAAACTTCAATCCAACGGGGCCGAGATTTTCGAAGGGGGACCCCACTCGGACTGTAGTGTAAGGTCATTCCGGCCTCCGATTTTCTTGACGCCCTACACCAGCACTCAATTTCTACGGTGCCAGACTGAGCGACTCGCAGCTTTGAGCAGTGCCTTGTCTCGGACAGAGACGGGATCCTTGAATTATGAAGTTCTCCAACAACTCTCCGTGAATGAATCTGCGTGACTCACAGATCTGTAGGCATAGATCCGGACGGTGACCTAGCCATTCTCCAAATCGACTGCGCCAGTAAAGACTCTTCGTTATCTCCAATTGTTTATTCTACTGAATCGTGCTCTCTTATATACCCTCACATGATTAAAGCGGGAACTTTGGCATGACTGCGTTCTGTGAAGCTCGGTCGAAATTCTCATCGCCCGACGCAATGATTTCTTGATTTCTCGGTTTTTTCAGCCAAAGCCTCATTCCGACATCTACGCGATTCCAGACGCTTAGTGCGGAATTCTTCTGCGGATTACCCGGGAAACTTAACCGTATCATTCGTGAAACGTAATTCTGAGAAGGATGGAACTATTCTTCATACTTTCTTTTGAATGCGGCTCATACCAAGTGTGCTCGTTGCGGGTGCCCACAACGAAAGAGCAGAGAATGCTTATTGATTCTTTTGACGGCAGATTTCTCCAAATAAATCCTCAAAATTGTGCACTCGACGCTTTCGTGACCCCGCCACATCAATCAGAAAGCATTCCGTGCCTCGGCGATATAGGGGCTTGTTGAACGACTGCGCTGCGGCGGCGGTGACCACAATCTCTACGAAAACTAGAAACAGCAACAAGAGCATCGCGCATGTATTCAATTTCTGTTGAACATAACACAAATATCGACAACGAGACCTGGCTTTGATCTGGGTTTTCGATTTTATTCGTCGAGAGCAATTCGTGCCGCTTTCATCTCACAATAACTCGTCTATTCTTGCTCGCGGGCTTTCACGTCGACAATCTCTCGTCCTTGCGTAGACATCTCTCCGGAGCATCGGCAAAGGCTAATCAATGACATCGTCCAGGAGTCGTCGTGGTTCGAAGATCCATTGTCGCGTTTTCTCTCTAACGGGAGGAATCGACGACACGGGAGATTGTCGTGAGGCAAACCCCCAGTGGTCGAGGAGGTGGCTCCTTGGCAAGTAGCTCGAAAGCGAGCTCACTCTGTCGTCACCTCTGAAGTCGCTTCCGCTTCCTCGCGTGCGTCCATCACCCGAATGGATCACCGGATCTCCCCTTGAAATTGCATATGCCATGGCTTTTCTCTTTCCCAGTGGCCGTTCCAATCTGTCACGACAAGCCAGAGGGAAGCGCAAATTTGAATGTGATGATATCCTTAGAAGAGATCTGGCCTTCCTCTTTCTTTCGAGGGCTATTCCTGGCAACAATCTTCGTCGTCCTCGTCTCCCTTTTCTCGTCTATCGCCTCCACCTCCTGCGACAGCGAGCGAGGGAGCAAAAACCTCACGTTGTCCCTTTGGACATCGGATGCTTCTTCACAAGGCGAGGGCTGATACTCGGCGACTCCATGATGGAATGATGGGAGTAGTCTGATTGATGATTATCACCACGGCCATTTGGGATTGAGGCGTCTCAAAATCGAAACCTACTTCTTCCCCATTTTCGGAGGGCCTGGGAGCTCGTTACTAGCGGAAGATCAGCGTAGCGAACTCGGCCGCGATCGCCCGACATTGTCAAATTAAAAGTCCTTCTTCTCGAAAACTCCGGAAGCTTTTCGGAGCGATTCGGAAGTTTCTCGAATTCCTCCATGAAATTGAGGGAGAAGCCGCTACGCTTTATGATTGAGCGGGGAAAGGAGAGGCGGAACGACACTGATTTTCTCGCATTGGAAGAGGGACGGGAGAACAGTCAAGCGGGCCCCGTTTTGAGATCAATGCTGTCTTCCTTCGACTCGTCCCGTACGAATCTCGGGTTGGATTTACATTCTTCGCCCACTGGTCGAATCCAAATCTGAGGGCCGGAGGTTCTTGAAGCATACCTCAGGTAACCGCGGCTCCCCATTATTCCATTCGATGTATAGTGGAGTATTGATGGGCTAGATCCTCGATCTAGTGGAGAGTTCATGCTCGATGGACAAATCATCCTAATAAAGCCTTCGACTGTTCGAACAGCTTGGGGTTCCATACATGAGAGGAGAGCCTTCCCTGTCGCGCCACGCAGTTCGAAGAACCTGCGTGTTCCAATCGCTCTGCGGAACGGGGCTCCTCCGTTGGAACGGGCTTGGCTATGCAGCGTTGTTGGCTATGCTTTGGTTGGCTCCTCGGATCGAGTCGAGTGACCGTCAGCGAACTCGTTTCGAAAAGAGTAGGCGAAGAAACCTTCTGCATACCAAGGAGGGGTCATTCGGTTGGTTGGTGCATTCACTCAGGACATCTTCGCCCTCTTTTTTCCTTTCCAACACACTCTCGCGCTCGATCCGAGCCTCGAATTCCTCCTACTTTTCGGCATCTCCTCTTTTTTCCGTGAAGGCGTCTCTCTTTTGTTATTCTTCGCGTGGAGCATTCCTACCCTCCCCGCGAGAATTTCTCGGTTTCTAGTCGACCGGCCCCAAGAAGTTTTCTCAGTTTGTCAGATGGGAATTCCGCGTCGAGTCGAGATAACTTTTGCGCATCACACCGTCGCATATAGTCCTCTGGTCAAGGTTTCTCATGACGAAGGTCATGCGAAGGATCCCGGAAAGAAGACTCGGAACGGTAGTTCAAGGCTTGAACTTCAAGCCAAGGCACCCACAGGTCGTGTCGCGGGCTGAGCGATGAGATGTCGTGAGGAAGGAGCGCGAATTTCCGAATCTTCTCTCGCTGAAATTTCCGTCGGTGTCTTGCAAAGCGGCCTAGCACTCCAGAGAGAAAGCGTAAACGAAGTGAGAGAATTTGAAAATCTCCAACGAAAGCAGCGTGGGAAGAAGCGCGCGGCAAAGAAATAAATCTCCAATATAAAATCAAATGGGAACTTTATTTACATTTTCATTGCGGGATGCGTCCGTCCTGGGACGATTCCGACCGCCGTGCTCGTCCGTAGGTCCGTGCTAACCTCTGCCATCCATCCATCCTCCTATGCGACAAATCGACCGACCTCTTGGCTTGCACCAGCTCTCGTTCTCCGCCTCGTACACCGAAGGGCAACTGCTGCCATCAAAGAGACTCGCAAAGTCTCTCGCCTGCAGAGTAACGTACGTCTCATCAGACAGCATCTCACTGTGCGACCGACCGCCCGACCGACCGAAAACAGGAGCACGGCAAGAGACGGGACGCTTTAGGGATTTGGGTCCACATGCAATTATGCGACGCGACGGCTTCGATTCTCTGCCCGAGAGAATAGCGGACGGGTGAATAGAAGCGCTTGTCTTGTCGTTGGCGGCCTTCTCGGACTACTGCCGCGGTGGACTTGACCATGGACGGCTGCGCGCCTATATTGGGGCGTTGTTTGGCTTCCGGTGCTTTATGCCTTTTTCGAACGACCCGAGCCGGCCGGATGTGGTCGAGTCTGCGAGGGGCTTCTCGGCTTCCGATTCGTCGCCGCGCGCATTCAAATATTTCATGTTTTATTCCTCAATATCCGCCGTGCCCGCCGACCGAAGCGTCGTTTTCCCCCCCTCCGCGTGATATGTCCTCCCATTCGATATTATCGGCACGCTTTGAGCTCGCGTCGAGAAGGATCTTCGAGTCTCCAATAGCGGAAACTTGCGCGATTCCTTTGGATCGCAATCCATCGGAGATGCGTTTCAGAGCGAATTCAGATTCATCACTCTTACCGATGAGTACGTCGCTGAGTAGCGGACGCATTGACGGAAATCGTTGATGCTCGATGCTGGCACCGCGGACAGAGCCGGTGCTCGTTCTTGAAGTTTTCGGGCGAGTTCCCTCGATATTTTTCGCGATCAGAATTTTTCGCGTGAAAGGAGCCCATCGTCAAGAGCCTTCCAAGGGAGCGGAGGCGAATAGTTTGCTCCTCCGAAGCGGTGCACGATTTAGGCACGGAGAACAGATATTCCGTGGAATTCGTGATCGGACGCGCGGAGATGGACGGGAACTTATTGCTCGCATTTTCATTTTCCAGGTTTTGCGAGTCTTCCAAGAGGGCGAGCGTATAAAGAAGCCTCCGATCGACGTGATGTTTACCGATGTATACAAAGAAATGCCACTCCACATCCAAGAGCAAAGAGATCAACTTCGAGAGCATCTCAGCGAGTTCGGACAACACTACCCGTTGGAGCAGTTCCAGTGATTCGCAGCATGGCGCGAAGTCTGATCGGCTGAAGTTTGCGACGGAAACTCCGGCGTGCCCCGTCGTTCCGGCCCGTCCGAGGAGCAGACCTCACGAGCCCTCCTCTATATGCATTCCTGGACTCGTCCTCGACGTCGATCACACAGAATTTCTTTCTTCTCCGACGGTCGTAGCTCAATTCGTAACAAAAGGACTGTTGAACCTACTCGAATTCGGGAACGATTTTCACCCGGACCTTAGGGTTTTTAAAGAAAGGAAGTAATAAATTAGCGCAATCTTTCTTTCGAGTATTATTTGGAAGCGATTTTATTCGTTCCCGTTGACTGATACTTCCCGATCGCCCGAGAAGATCAATCGGTCGCCCGCTTGGACGATCGGCCGCTCGCTCGCCTAGTGCGCCGCCGCAACACACCGGCCACGACATCGGCAACAGGGGTCAGAATCTGTGAAGTGCCAGAACCCACGAGCGCGGGTTTCCACAAAATTGACGGTCATTTATTGTCGTCGCTGCCGGTGTTGTCGTGCTTGTTCTAAGTGCTGGTGAGAGCGTTTCACGTTCACGTCAGCGAGCGGTTCGCTAAATGATTGTCGAGTTTTGACGAGCTGACAGAACTCACACGAAGGGACCGACTGTGCTCGGCGATGACAACGGTGCGCGGTAACCAATTGTCGTCAGTCGCCGAGCGCTCGGTCAGAACTCAGAGGTCTACCCCTTTGTTCTGCTGCTGCGGCTGCTGCTCGAAGATTAGCTCAGGAGCTGTTTCTGTCACAGAGAGCCAGATGATGAGATGAGGCTCACGACAGAGCAGCCGCTGAGTGATCTCAATCTACGGATGATGAATTTTCGACAGAAATTTCCATTTGCAGAGAAAAGGTATGGCGGGAATGACCCGGTGGTGGGATAGCCATACACTGGTTGAATCAGTTTAGATGCGGTGTTGGGGTTCATATGTAGATATAAATCTCCCGTCTCCCTCTTTCTCCGGATCGATGCACTCACTCATAAGTGGATAAAGCCGTGAACGGCATAAGAACGGCATGAACATGATGATCTATAATGATCACTGTGAGGGAACTGACTTCCTTGGGGTCATCTTTGATAAATACTCACCGATAAATACTAACACCGGCACCGAACGACAGTTAGACGGGGAAGATAGCACAAGACGAAACGTAGACGTGAGAATCCAGAGCTGAGTCTGAGTAACAGGATTCAAACACCGACCGTCCGCGAAACAAGATAAATACATCGCGTGAGCTATCTGAAGAAGATATTTCGCTTCTAAAGCTGCTCAGACTCTATTTTCTTTTGCTCGCGACAAAGTTTCCCTACCAGCCACCGAGGTTCCGATACCGGTCATGAGTGATCGTCTCAGGAAACAGGCGGAATTTTGGAGAACGTTTCGGGATGCTGTAATTCGGAGAGGAATATCTCGATGCGTTCCTGGTTTCGCTATACTCGACGACGCAGCTTCGGACCGGATCCACGTCTTCAGCCGGAACATTCCGGGCTTCCCCCGAAAAATTTCACTGAGCGTTCGCGTCAGACGTGGGAATTCGCCCGACTAGGCAACTTATGCGGTTTTCGGTTTTGTCGCTCCACCGACAAAGCCCGACGAGAGATCAGAAATCCACGGTACGCTTCGAATACCTACTAGGGCCCTGTTTATTCCGCTAGTCGCTCAGGCGAACGGGGCGGGATCTGTCTCATTTGAATATGCAGCAACATCGGCGGCCGCACCGACAGCGCTGCCACCGCCAACGGCCGCCGGAGGCAAAGCAAGCAAGAAGGCCCTCGCCTCCTCTCTGGGACCCTTTCCCCACGACAACGGCAATGGTAGCAGCGGCGGCAGAAGGAGCGGTTTCGGCACGCGTTCGCTATCACCCGTGTTTGCATAGAGTGACAGCGGCCGCTGAAGCCGCCTCTCACAGTATTCCTCTTCGTAGGAGGGCCCTGATTAAAGGCCCGGCCTGGACGGGCGGCGAATCGGAGCGGGAAACCGTCGATGGACGCATCACGGAGATCGGCCAGCCCGCGCTCCTGGAGCGGGAGCCGAGCGCGGGATCGAGTCCCGGGCTAGGGTTTCGAGCCCGCTCCTCGTTCGGATCTCCTCGCAACCAGCATTGGTGATGGGCTCGTTGGCAAAGTGGGTGGTACGACGAGTTGAAGTGCTCTTCGCCCCGGAAGGGGGAGAGGGAGAGCTTTGAATAGAACGGATGCAATAACGAGGGCCGCCGCAGAGGAGAAATAAAGGGTTTGGGGTGGAGTTTCCGCGTGAAGAGTGAGTTTTAAAGCGAGCGCCGCGCGACCGACGGACTCAAGAGCTGATAGGCTACTGACATTGAGTATCGAGAGCGCGGAGTGAAAACCCTGCGATGTATAATTAGCTGAATCGATCATGGGCCTAATTAGGTTCCCTGCTGAATGAGAGCAATAAAGAGAATTGAAGTTGTCAGCTTCATTGGATGGATGGAGTTCGATGTTGAAGTTCCTCATGAATTCATGTTTAATCATCATCGCTCTCGACGATTTTTGAATATCATTTCAGTATCATCGAAAGCCGAATTGATTTTATGACGGGGTATTGTCAATCGACATCATAATGCTCGAAAAACGTCAGAAGCGATCAAACGAGGGATCGTGTCCGCGGATCACGTGCATCCTCCGAACACTCCGGACTGATCGTCGCAGCTCGATGCAGGAGAGTTCTTGACACGACGTGTGATCGGCAGCATTGACCGGTGCACCTATAGCGACCGCGAATGAAATACTTGCCCGCTTTTCGTTTTTAATCGCATCTACAGTTGCCAAGTATTTATAGCCACCTGTCCGAGTTCCGCGAACTTTTCGATAAGTATCATCTTTACTTGAGGAAATCGCAAGCAGTCCATTCTTTATCGTCAACAACATCTTCGGATGTCTTCGTTCGGCTTTCAATCATTTCTTCCACAAGTCCAGGCGACACTCTTTGAATGCTGCTCCACTGCAATATCTTCCTCTATTTCTGACCGAGAGTCACATCCAACCGAATCAATCGCCGATTACCTCAGTGTATCTGAGCCTGTTCTGAGCGCGAGGGCGAAGGGAAAAGTCTCCAATAGGGCAACATGGATATAGGACAGCTTGTGAAGTGTTTCAAGGCGGTGTTCGAAACATTGATATATCACACGAGGACCGTCTATTGAGCTCATTCAGGTGTCGAAAACCGGCGGACCATCAGCCAAAATTACCGTATCATCCCATTTCACGTTTTTCGTAATCATTTCGTTCAAGCAATTATTCTGCGCTCCAATGAGAGAACGGAAAATAGTCGGAGAGGAAAAAACAGCTCTGTTGACAAAACTGCTGTCAACAACGTGTCATCGGAAACAGCAGCGCTCTCCAAGTAGGTATTCTCCGCATACACGGAGCTTTTCCCCATCGAGGATGAGCTGGGACCGCCGCTGCATATCGGGCATGCGGATGATGTTGTTGATGTCGTCGAGTGCATGACAGCAATAATGCGTGAGACGTTTATTCCGTCGGAATTTTTCCCTCACCGTCAGACGGTAGTTCTCGCCGTCGTCGTCGGCTCGGCCGACGATTCGGTGTGCGCCGCGCATGCGTTGGCCGATGCGACCCCTAGTGGCGCTCTGGGTAAGCTCGCCGGCTAAGCAGTGCCTTCTCTTCTAAGTGTGCTCATATGCATAGAGCTAACGAACAGGGAGCATGCAGTCGCCGGTCCGCGACTAGTGAACGAAATCAGCGCCGCCATAACTAACGGTGACGTGCGCTCGATCCCATCGGATTCTGAGATTGGGAAGTGCGTCCTTGCGGTCACGCTGTCACCGGCATCGCAACAGGCTCTCGCAGATCCGGCCATCGGAGCCACGGGTTAGCTGTCAAACTCGCGCGCGCTCACCTGTTCGTGGCCTCTCGGGGCCTCTTCCAAGTGCTCTGTGGCGGTGGTGCTGTGTATGTTCCATCTTCATCATCATCATCATCGTCGTCAATGATTCCATTTGTCTGATTGTCGATCTTGACGTCAGCGAGAACGTCGGCATTCATTAAGTGTACAGTCCCTATTCTGGATTTGGACTCGGTGTTCGAATTGTGATTCTCGGTTTGATATTCGCGACCTACGGAACTCGAAACTTCTGACACAGTGCCCGCCATAGCGTCAAGACCTCCGATTCAGGACTGCAAGTTCTGGCTCACGTGGACGGAAAGGCTCGACATTCGACGCGGATCTCCAGTGCGCGAATTTCCGGACAGGACCCGCAGAACTCGGAGATCTCCGCCAGACACACTGACACACCAAGTGTTCGACGACGACGACAACAACGGCGACTAGGGAAACAGTTGTGTGTTGTTTGTCCGTCTGTGTGTGTTTGTGTGTAACACCGGTGAGTTAGTTGTTGTATAGGGCACTCCGTCACGTCAAGGGGCCCCTCTACGGTATCGGTCCAGCCGGTCGGCCGGGCGGCGGTGTCGATGGCGGCGGCCCATAGAGTTCCATTTGTTTCGCTGTGCACTCTAGAACGCGCTCTCCCTTCTGGATCCGTTCTCGTTCGGTATTCTCTCTTCTCGATAGGGGCTCCCTGGGCCCATGGTATGAATCGCTAATTATCCGCCCTCGCACCTCACTCTTTCACGGTCGTCGTAGTTCCAATCAGTACTGCTTCGGCACTGTCTCTCGTCTATCTGGCATCCGGATGACAGCTGGGGAGACCGCTTACGAACGCATCGACCCCGGTCCCTTATTCCCGAAATGAAACCATCGAGCAAAGGCTGAGTTCGCTTGGATACGCCGCTCAAGACAATGAGACATTCTGCGACGACGGGACGCTCGAATCCGGACCCACAGAGCCGGCAGGAGGAATGGACTTGGGAAAAATCGAACAGATGGATAGATAGTCCGATTAACGACCGTCTCGATGGTTCCATGTCGTCCATGTGGGGAAACTGGTTATCGTTCCCGGCTCGCACGTCGGAGTACTCATCGTCGTCGAGGCTGTCTGTTATCGATTGTCGCCAGGAGGTATCTGAAGCTGAACAGTTTATCGGCACGTCCATTTCGCGGATCCCATGTCGTATCGACAAAGAACATAAGGGAGGGCCATGGGAAGCATCAGTTGACACCACGGCATTCGGTTCGAGAATCCTACCAGGGAGTTTCGCCTCGGATTGCCGTCACGGAGTTCCTCTCAAGGAGTTCCGTGAGGAAACTCCGTCAGAAAGTCCAAG